GTCCATGGTATATTCAGTATTCTGTGCTAACATCGTTAGTCAGAAGCATTAGTTCTTCAGTCTTTCTTATTCTCTGGCCAGCTTTCATAGCATATGAGGTGATTGAAAATACCATGGCTTGGGTCAGGCACACTCTAGTCCTCAAAGTGACATCTTTGCTTTTGAAACTTTAAAAAGGTCTTTTGCAGCAAATATTCCTGATGCAATACATTGCTTGATTTCTTGACTGCTGCTTTGATGGGCATTGATTATGGATCCAAATAAAATGAAATCATTGACAACTTCAGTCTTTTCTCCATTTACCATGATGTTGCTGATTGGTACAGTTGTGAGGATTTTTATTTTCTTTATGTTGAGGTGTAATCCATACTGAAGGCTGTTGTAGTCTTTGATCTTCATCACTAAGTGCTTCAGATATTCACTTTCAGTGAGCAAGGTTGTGTCATCTGCATATTGCAGCTTGTTAGAGTCTTCCTCCAGTCCTGATGCTATGTTCTTCTTCATATAGTCTAGCTTTTCCAATAATTTGCCCAGCACACAGATTGCATAAGTATTGTGAAAGGATACAACCTTGATACACACCTTTCCTGATTTTAAACAATTCAGTATCCCCTTGTTCTGTTCAAATGACAGCCTGTGTACAGGTTCTTCATGAGTACAATCAGTGTTCTGGAATTCCCATTCTTTGCAATGTTACCCATAATTTGTTATGATCCATAAAGTCAAATGCCTTTGCATAGTTAATAAAACACAAGTAAACATCTTTCTGGTATTCTTTGCTTTCAGCCAAGATCCATCTGATACCAGCAGTGATATCCCTTATTCCATGCCCTCTTCTGAATCTGGCTTGAATTTCTGGCAGTTCCATGCCAGTATACTGCTGCAACCATTTTTGAATTATCTTCAGTAAAATTTTACTTGTGTGATATTAATGATAACCAAAAAACAAACCAAACTCATTGCCATTGAGTTGATTCCGACTCACAGTGACCCTCCTTGGGTGTCCAAGGCTATAAATCTTTGCAGAAGTTGATTGCTCCTTCTTCTGTGGAGTGGCTGGATGGTAGGTTTGAACCACTGACCTTCTGGTTAGCCTCATCCACTTAGTCACCACAGATCCTTATATTGATGATACAAAAAAAAAATCCTTATTGCTGTGGAGTCGATTTGACTCACAGTGACCCCTCCTTGGGTTTCTGAGGTGGTATCACTACTGAAGTAGATTGCCCAATCTTTCTTCCAAGGAGTGGCTGGTGGGTTAATGATATTGTTGGTTAATTTCCTTATTCTGCTGAATCGCCTTTCTTTGGAATGGGCACAGATATGATTCTCATCCAGTCAGTTGGCCAGTTAACTGTCTTCCAGATTTCTTGGCATAAATGAGCAAGTGCATTCACTGTTGGATCTGTTTGTTGAACCATGTCAACTGGTATTCCATCAGTTTTTTGTTGCATTGTTTTTCGCCAGTGCCTTCAGTGCAGCTTGGACTTCGCTATCATTGGTTCTTGATCATATGTTACCTCCTGAAAGAGTTGAATATCAACCAGTTCTTTTTGGTTACCCCCCCCCTTCAAAAAAAAGAAAACAAACCCATGCTATCAAGTTGATTCAGATTCATAGTAACTCCCATTAGGTTTCCAACACGGTAAATCTTTATGGAAGTAGATTGCCCTATCTTCCTTCCATGGAGCAGCTGGTGGGTTTGAACTGAGAGCCTTCTGGTTAGCAGTCAAATGCCTTAGGAACTGTGCCACCAGAGCTCATTTCTTTGTGGTACATTTACTTTATTCCTTCTATTTTCTGATGTTTCCTGCATCGTTTAATGTTTTGCCCATAAAAAAAAAAAATGAACTCACTGCCATCAAGTCTACTGCAACTCGTAGCGACCCCTCCTTGGATTTCTGAGGCGGTATCTCTATGGAAGTAGATTGCCCAGTCTTCCTTCCAAGGAGTGGCTAGTGGGTTTGAGCTGCTGGCCTTCTAGTTAGCAGTCAAATGCCTTAGGCACTACACCATCAGAGCTCACTTTTGCCCACAGAATCCTTCAATACTGGAACTCGAGGCTTGAATTTTTCCTTCAATTCTTTCAGCTTGAGAAATGCCAAGCATGTTCTTCCCTTTTGGTTTTCTAACTCCAGATCTTTGCACATTTCATTATAATACTTTACTTTGTGTGGTAGTTAAGGTTATATGTCATCTTGGCTGGGCCTGGTTTTGAGTGGCTGGGTAGGTGGCATGATGAGAGTAGCAATCGACTCCATGGTAGAATCTACTGGAGCAGCTGAGTAGCTGCCTTAGCTGTTTCCCATGTGTAAGGAGAAGCTTTAAGAACGGTCTCTGGTTTTTTGGCATGCTAGGACCCTACATATAGCTCAGTCTTCATTCAGCAGCCTGCCATGCTTTGCTGATCTTGGGACTTTTAATGGACTTGAATCAATGGCCTGCTGTGTGGTTTGGTAGTATCAGGAACTGTGTCTTTTTACTTGTCAGCTTTGGTTTGTCAGCCTCAGCAGCCAAAGTGACGAGATGCCTCTAGCTGCAGTGGGCTGGGAGCAAGAGGCAGAGCTGAAGCCCAAGGTTGAGGCGCTTTCACCCAGCGCCTAGAGCCTGGCACCTTGAACTTGGACTTCTAGTCTCCAAAACCATAAGAACCCTTGTTTGTTCGAGCCATCTCATTTGTGCTCTCTTTTGTTAGAGCAGCATTAGGTAACCAAAACACTTTGTCTTCTCGAACCACTCTTTGAAATTTTCTGTTTGGCTCTTTTACCTCATCATTTTTTCCGTTCACTTTAGCTACTCTCTATTTAAGAGCAAGTTCCAGAGTCTCTTTCGACATCCGTTTTGGTCTCTTCTTCTTTCCTGTCTTTGTAATGACCTTTTACTTTCTTCATTTATGGTGTCATTTAACATTCCACAATTCACCTTATCTTCTGTTGTTCATGTTCATTGTGTCCTATCTCTTCTTAAGATGGTCTCTAAGTTCAGGTGGGATATATTTAAGGTCGTACTTTGTCTCTTATAGACTTGTTTTAATCTTCTTCACCTTCAAGTTGAACTTGCATATGAGCAATTGATGATCTGTTCTACAGCTGGTCCCTGGCCTTGTTCTGACTAATGATATTGCACATCTCCATCATCCCTTTCCACAGATGTAGTCGATTTGATTCCTGTGTATTACATCTAGCTAAGTCCACATGTGTAGTCACCATTTATGTTGTTGACAAAAGGTATTTACAATGAATAAATTGGTCTTGCAAAATTCTATTATGTCATCTTTGGTGGTGTTTCTACCACCAAGACCACATTTTCCAACCACCGATTCTTCTCATTTCCAGCTTTCACATTCTAGTCACTAGTGATTACCAATGTATCTTAATTGCATGTTTGATCATTTCAGACTGCAGAAGTTGGTAAAAAAAAAATCTTGGTTCATCTTTGTTTTATACACTTGAATAATAGTTGTATTAACTGGTCTTCTTTGAAGGCATATGGATATTATTCTATCACTGACAGGTTTGTACTTCAAGATACATCTTGATAGGTTCTTTTTGACAGTGCATGTGATACCATTCCTCTTCAATTTGTTGTCATTGCCCATGTAGTAGGCCATATGATTGTCTGATTGAACATGGCCAATACTTACTTTAAAAGCCTTATTTTAGTACAAGAAAAGGCTCCAAGCCTTTAAAAGGTGCATGTGTAGCAAATGAAGATGATTGTGATGAATTTATTGAGGGTGTAGAAGGGGTGGGGTTCAAGTGTTTAGTGCCATGGCAAATTAACATAACATTAAAGGGGCAGTCTACTTCTGTAATGATACTGCCTCAGAAACCCAAGGAGGAGTTGCTATGAGTCGGATCCGACTTGACGGTGGTGAGTTTTTTGTTGTTGTTGTTGTTGAGGAGTTGTCTGTATATGTCAGATGTTTGTTACCCAGAGACCGCCTGTATTCTAATGTGGTTTTGAGAAAGCAGGTATAAAAAACTCACCACTGATACTGAGTTGATTCTGACTCATAGTGACCATATAGGACAGAGCTGAAAAACTGCTCCATAGGGTTTCCAAGGCTGTAAATCTTATACAGAAGCAGATGCTGCCTCATCTTTCTCCCATGGAGTGGTTTGGGTTACTAGCTGTGAATGCCTTACCACTACACCACCAGAACTCCTGAGAAAGCAGGTATAGTCTTACAAAAGCAGGCAGGCTGTAGTCTGCCAACCTCAATCTAGAATGAGGCCTCAGCAAATAGACATTTGAAATGAAATGTTATAAGGAAATGGGTCACTCAGTAATTAAAAAATTTATTGAGTGCCAGCTCTTTGCAAAATTAGAAACTAAATGGTTAATTGAATTATAATATAGCCACTTACTAGATATTAATCATCACTAAAAATGATTATTTTGAAGAGTAAAGAACATAGGAAAATGCTTCTAAGTAGAAAATAAGGGTAAAAAAATTTTAAGTTTTTATTTTAATAGACATAGACTAATATTGGAAAGAATATGAATTTTTATTAGGTAGAAAGATTATGGACAGTTCTTTTTCTCTTTTGCAAATTGTGTATAACCAAAAAAAGGCCAGACCCACTGCTGTTGAGTCGATTCCAACTCATAGCAACCCTCACTGGGTTTCCGAGGCAGTAAATCTATATAGAAGTAGATTGCCCAGTCTTGCTCCTGCAGAGTGGCTGGTGGGTTTGAACCACTCACCTTCTGGCTAGCAGTCAGATGGCCTTAGTCACTGTGCTACCAGAGCTCCTTAACTTGCGTATAGTGTTTTTGTATTCTAAAAAAAACTGAAAAATGTATTATGGGATGCCAGTTAAAACTTTTTTTGTCACCATTATGTAGTATGTAAAAGAGAAAATTTGTGAAACTGTTGTTCAGTAAAATCCCAAAGCCTTTTTAATCAGTGTAAGACTGACATTAGAGGGAAATGGGTTGCTGTTCTGTTCAAGATATATTGTCATTTCTCTTTTTAAATGTTTGTATTTTAACAGTGCCCTTATGTCTGCCATTTGTTATATTTACTTACCAGAAAGGAGAATGGTGAGTGTTTTCATTCCAATTGTATTGCATTCATTTTGTGGAATTAGCATTTGTGTTAGTCTTTATAAAGTTAAGATAGCATTATTAAGATGATTAATTATGAATAATAAAAATAAATTGATTAAGATAA